TCACTAGCAGCTCCTGCTCAGACCACAGCGTGCTGCTTTGGCATGGGTCCAAAAGCAGTGGGACCAAGCGGCCATGGACTGAGCTTCCTAAACTGTGAGCCAAAATTAAGCCTGACTTCTTTTACTTGATTATCTCTCAGGCATTTTGTCACAGCGACAGAAAATTCATTAGCACATTTAGGAAAGACCGCACTCAGATCTGGCTGGAGTTTGCTGTTCACTAAACAACAGGGGGGACGGGTACTGATAAAAGAAAGCCTTCTAAGCTTGGTGCTTCCTCATCCAGCAGTGTCATCAATAGTAACACTATTATATTTGTTATTTATTTTGTTGATGAAACAAAGTAACCTACTGAAAGCAGTTTAAGGCAGGAAGGGTTTGTTTTGGCTCCCAGTATGAGGTACAGTCTATTATGTTAGGGGGAAGTTCTAGCAACGATGACTTGAGATAGCTACTCACGTAACAGCTTCAGTCAGGAAGCAGAACAGCCTGCATGCTGGTACTCAGACAGCTTTCCCCGTTTTATGCAGTCTAGGAAAAACAGCCTATGGAGTGGTGGGGCTCACATTCAGGGCAGGTCTTCTTGCCTCAGTTGATCTAGTCTAGAAACTCCCTCACAGATGTACCCAGAGGTTCATTTTCATGACTATTCTAGATCCCCCTACACTCAGCATAACACTCAATATCACAGGTACATTTTTAGGGATCTTACAAAAAGATCTTCCTGGCCAACTTAACGGCTGCTAGGCTTGCAGCTCAGTGGCTGGTATGAAATACTCACAAAGAAAGAGATGGCCTTATACATAAACTTTCTATACTACGGCTTGTCAGAAAGAAAGGCAGATACTGGCAAGGAGACCTCTTTTTGATGGAAAGAGTATCTAAGGCAAGAGCTGAAGACTTAGATTCAGAGGGCCCAGATTTAATTTAACTCTGCCTCTAACCTGGGCAAGTCATTTCTCCTTCCCAAAGCCCATCCTTTCTATAAAACGAGTAGAGATCATATCCCCCTACCATCAGCAATATGATTTAGTCAGTGACACACTGTTGGGTCCAGAGCTAAAGACAGGTGTGCTGGAGGTGACAGACTGGACTTTGGTGGTCTCCAGTTGCCTTGTCTGGCTTGTCAGGGAGGAGGACCACATGGATGAGACTGGACTGGAAGAGAAGGTTCTGAGATGGGACCAGAAGCCAAGGTGCTGAGAAGCGGGGACATACGTAAACTCTTGTATAAGATCTGACTTTACTGTTTCCACAGACCCCATGAAAGTGCCAAGGACCTTCCCAGCTCACATTTCATTACAGGGTGTATTGATTTAAGCTACCTTCATTAAATCCTGCTCTTGGTGTCAGACACTCATATCGTGGAGGAGACAGGTTTTTCTCCTAGAAGGTGGCAGACACGGCCATCTTTGTCAACCCATCAACCTGCAGTCCATACCTCTGACAGTACAAGGATTGTGTAGATGAGCCCACTGGCCTGTGGCTCCTGAGGAAGACTGGGCAGTATCTGTGCCTACCTAACCTGCCAGGTCTGTAAGGTAATTGAATGTCGGGGAAAACCGAGGGCTGAAACGGTTAAGCCGCTCACTGAAGCTGCTCACGGGCAGCAAGGCTTTCCGTATGGCTCTGTGAGAGATGGAGGCCACAGCTCTTCAACGAGGCCCCGAACATGAACTTCTTGGCTGCAGTGGGTTCAGGCAGTGAGGCATCTCTTGCTTGGCCTCATAAATAGTTTTTGAACGGCCCCTCTCAGTGAACTTCGAAGTGAGGTTACAGGAAGATATCACGTGCTTAGTCTGTGATGATTATTGCTATCTGTGTGCCCACTGACTTAATTTAATGATAACATCCCACGCAGATACGTATTAGTGCCTCTGTATTTTTAGACAAGGAAACTGAAGTAAAGTTAAATGCCCTGCTGATGTCACACAGTAGCCTATAGCAGAATTACTGGCTTCCAGAGCTGAAGTGACAGCCAAGGAGATAGTACTCACATTCACACATGCAGATATTCGTGCACACACAGACACACACACACACACACACAGAGCCATGGAAGCTAGAGACAGTGGTGAACACAGAGTCATCTGCATGCCTGTAGTAAGACCTAGGGTGGCTGTTGCTCATTTAACACACACTGGTGAGTCAGGACATGAGAGTCAGACACCAGTCTGGGTTCAAGGTTTAGCCTGCTTCTTATCACCATATCTCCATTTATTTTTGTTAAACGGGGTGATGTAACTGGCCTAAAATTATAATGACTAAGTAGCATGGCCAGGATTTGAACCCAGGTCTATCTGCCTCAGGGTTTCTTCCCAGCACATGACTCTCCTATGTCTTTCTGCATGAGTCTACATACATGTCTGATATCAGTTATGGCCATGAGGGATGGACCTATGACTAAGGTGGATGAGATCAAATGGATCCAGTGTAGTGTGTGTGTGTGTGTGTGTGTGTGTGTGTGTAAGAGAGAGAAAGGGAGAGGTAGGGGGATACCGTGGGTACGCACATGTGTGGTGGTGGTGCGCACACACACAAGCATGTGAACGCATACAGAGATCGGAGATCAATATTGGCTTTTTCCCTTGATGGCTTTCAAAGTTTATTTTTTGAGACGAGATTTCTAACTGAACCTGGAGCCCACTGATTCTGCTCGGCTGGCTGGCTAGAACACCCTTGGGATCCACCTGTCTACACCCCCTCTGCCCAGTGCCAGGATTACAGATCCATAATGTAGCACCTGGCATTTTACATGAGTGCTGGGGATTGACTTCCAATCCACATGCTTGCACAGCATTTGCCTACTGAGCCGACTCTCTAACCTGCTTCCTCTCTGTTTTGTCATCATTGTATTTGCGGCCAACTGAAGAGTACTCAGAAAGCTCAGCCAAAGCTATCCCTGCCTCCCCCCAGGCTGTGGAATTTCATCGGGGATTAACAGTGCAAAGCGAGGGTTATAGACCCATCGTAAATTAGCTTTTCGGCCACATAATGAACAATACAAGGCAGCGTGGCTTTAAGAGGACCATTTATTATATTGCAATAAACAGAGCTATATAAAGAGAATTATTCCTGAGACTCTGCACATCTGTGCTCACAATCATGTCTTTACATGAGCTTTGCAAACAGGGATAAAAGTCCAATTTAGACAGTGCATTGAACAGCGATTCTCCATTCAGCAGGAAAGGTAATTCAAGGTATTCTAAAGGCATGAATGCTGCATGGGTCTCATTTTAGAAAAAGGTCAAAGCCGTCTCTCTTGATCATGATCAGAACTGTTAATCTATACCATAATGAGCTGATTTGAGCTTTGCAGTGTGGAGTGGTTGGTTGGACAGTGATTTGAGGCAAGTCTCCTTTCTCTAGAATGCATGCACTACCAGGCAGGCACTTTCTTATCTCTCTGTTGCATCTAATTAAAAATAGTACTCATTACACGGTAGATGTGTTAACGTGTGGTGCGAATTGGAAAGGGGATGCTGATTACTTTCTTTCAAGGGCTTTGTATGGATTAAGTGAGTTGTTAGATGTGAATTCCTCCTACTGGTAACAATAGTGTGCAAGGTAGTTCACATGTGTTCTCATTTAATCCTCATCTTTTGGGAGTCTAAACAGGGGCTGTTCATAGAGAGAAGCTTGCTACAGCATTACCCTCTATAGAACCAGATGCCCTACCATGTGCCTGTTTACCATTCATCTATCTATCTATCCATCATCTGTTTGTCTGCCTGTCCATCCATCCATCCATCCATCCATCCATCCATCCATCCATCCATCTGCCCATCTGCCTGTCCATCTGTCCATCAGTCCATCCATTCATCCTTCTGTCTTTACCAACTAGGTGTTGTATATCAGGTCTATTTTGAGTCCTGGGTCTGTATCCACTAACAGACACATTTGCTACAGCACATCCATGGTAATTACTGTCCAGTATAGCACTAAGCCAGAAAGGAACTGGGGGCAGATTTCAGAGGACCCTAAAATCTACACTGAGTTTATCTTTCTGAGGAAAACGGACGGAACTAAATGGACACCATGGTGGGGCAGGTGGTCCCTCATGACCCCTATTTCCTGCAGCTCTCCCAGGCTCCCTTGTGACCTTGCACCAGATAAGTCTCAGTAAAATACATCTCAAGTCATAGGGCCCACTGTCAGTATTGATAAATGACACTTGCTATCATTGAAAATTGAAACGGTCTTCGCAGGCTCTTATGCTGCATGCTTGGCCCTCATCTGATGATGCTACTTTGGGATGTTCTAGAAACTTTGAGAGCTGGAGGCAGCAGGTCACTGCCACGGTTTCAGTGTTAAGTGTCTGCCGTAGGCACAGGGGTTGGAATCCTGTGCCCCTAGCTAGTGGTGCTGTTTGAGCAGGCTGTGGGGCCTCTAAGAGGTAGAACTTTAATGGAAGTATTGTATCATTGGGTGTGGGTCCTGAGGGTTTATAGCTTGCCCCCACTTCCTGTTCAGGCTTTCTGACTGTGGTACTTTGTCACAGCAACCAGGCAAGTAATCAATGCTGCCACTGTGGACACACCCTGTGAGCACCGTGTCCCTGTCCCCTCCTGGCTCTTGCTGTTTCTCAGCCATCATGAGGTAAAGACCCTCTTCTACCACATACTCCGACCATCATGATGGTGTGCCCTAAACAATCCTGGAAAGAATCTTCTGAAACTGTGATCTGACATGAATCTTTCCTTCTTGAACTCATTCTCTCATTATTCTGGTTAGAGCTACACAAAAATACCCAGCACAACAGAGTTTAGTATCTCAAGGCTAAACAAGGGGAGGGTGTAATTTTTTAATTATTTGCTCACCAAGAGGAGAGGCACCAAAGACAAGAAGGGAAGGGCAAGGAAGAGGAAATGAGTCCACAACATGAGGATTCTGAAGTTAGGTGCTTGGGAGCAGCCCCCCTCCCTCTCAGTGCTGAGCGGCTACAATGGAACAGTCAAACCCTCCCTCCACCCACACCAAACCCTTTCCCCCATATTTACCAATGGAACAGTCGTGTCCAGTCCAGCTTGGGTCACAGTTGCAGAGCCCGGTGTCTGGGAGGAAGGTTCCATGGCCTGAGCATTGGTCCAAGCACGTGGCCCTGGGTGACTCGCAGTTGGTGCCTCCCCATCCTACAGAGCAGTGGCACTCGCCTCTCACACAGACACCCCTGCTGGAGCATGTGGGGTCCATGCAGTCCACTGTGACAGGGAAGGAAGATGGCGCAGTGAGTACTGGGACAGCAGACTGAGGCTCTTGGGAAGGACAACACTGTTAAAGTGATCTGTCCACTTTGGGGGGGGGGTTTCAGTAGAGAACAAGCCTTGAGTGAGTGGTGGACCTGAGTTCCTAGTTCTCCAAGACCGTTTCCTTACCTGAAAAATGTGGCTACAAGTCCCTGCCACTTGGCTGGTGAGGTGAACTGAGTATAAATGTCCACCAGGCATTAGCATGGCACCCGGAGCCTACCATGTTTGCAAAAACTGCATTGACGGAGGAGTTGCAATGACGGAGGAGTCTCAGATGGGGAAACTGGGGCTCAGAAGGTCATACAGATAAATTCTACCAGAAAAAAATTTTCCTTTAATGTGTATGTGTGTATGCACCCAATCGTGCACATGTGTGTATTTGTGTGTGTGTGTATATACATGCCTACGAGGAGCAAGATGTTGGGTGTCTTCCTGTACTGTTTTCTGCCTTACTGTACTAGGATAGGATCCTTTGTTAAATGGAAGCCCTGAGCTTTCTAATTCTGAAACAGACTCGGTCAACAATCCCTGTCTATCAGATTGCTGTAAGAGCCACCAGTGACAGTGAGGGTCAGAAGAGACTATATGAACTATAGTATCGCAGAATTTTTACATCCTCTCAGGACTTTGAGTAGTGAGGCTTATGCAAACTACAGGTTTGTCTATAATTCAAATGTACTTACTAATTTCATTTATAATCCAGAATATTTGACTTTTATACCCAGACTTGGAAACCTGATCTAGGTATAAAAGAGTCACAGGCACAATAGGGCTGAGACTTTACAAAAGGGAGCATTCTAGGATATTTGTTTTGAGGACCAAACTGTGGAGATGGCTCTTTTGTCATCTCATTTGTAAAAGTAATTGTACTTGGCCATCTCAGTGGTAAGTAAGAAGGCCAAGGGGCAAGGAGTAACTAGCTGCTAAAATCACAGTAATGACAGTAGCAAACGTTGTCATTCATTTAGAAGCTTGTCTGTGCTACACTTTGGTATTAAGCATTTTATGTAGCTCTAATTAATCTATTATTTCCATTAAATAATTTTTCCAAGGCAGCACAGAAGGAATTTACATTTCAGCCGCTCACACCTGTCTAGATTGCTTGCTATTTCCTCTTATAATCTGACTGGTTCAAAAATACATTTGAGCATATATGCTTGCATAAACACATGAAGTGGCTTAAAAATAGAAACCAAATCAAAACAGGGAAAGAAACAGGAGAATGTGGGGAATTAATAAAGCCCAGCGAAGGCAAATGACTCTTCTCTCATGGTCTCCAGGCACCGTTTAGCAACGGCTAAAGCATGACCTGCTGAAGTTCAGGTAATTAAAAATAATAAAGACAACAGCAGTGATAAATTCTTGTGACGGGCTTCAGATCCCGGAACCACAGAAGGATTATTCCAGCCCATTAGGGTACTATGGTAATTCCCTTGGTCCAAAGAGCTTTCCAACTTGACAGGAAATGCAGTGATTCCCACCCAGAGACCCAGGAGAGCATTCCCCATCCTGTCAGTGTCTGGCCCCAGCTTTGGGTTGACCCTGCTTCTGAAGACCCCAGGGTGCCCTCAGTGTGGTTCCTGTACATAGTTAATGCTTGTTTACAGGCTGGGAGGGCATTAGTTTTAGTGAAATGTACTTGTCATCGCAGGCCTGTCCTTCCACACACAGAGGAACCCAGGAACCAGTAAAGGAAAGCCCTCAGTCTCAGGAGGATAAAGACTAAGATGAGCTAAGGAGAGGTCATCTCTTTTTAAGACACCTGGTCTTCGTGTTTCCAGGTGACCTGACAAGCATCGGGGAGCTCACAGAGTTCCGCATGACAGGGACAAGGTAGCTCCTGGCACCAGGCTAGACTTGACAAACTTACTGAGTGCCATTGGCCCTGAGCCCTGATCCTCAGCTGAGGGCTGTTATCTGTGTTATCTTTTGGTTGTATTCTGCCAAAGAGGCTTTGAGTGGCCTGGGTCTGCCTCCTTCTGGGCCTGTGGGTGACAGGAGTTCCAAGAAAGGATAAAGCTGTCTTCTTCCCTCATGCTGAGACAGCCTCATGAAAGTGGGTTATCTCCTGGGGAGCTATGCGTAATGCGGGAAGTACCAGCATGCCTGGGAGGGAGGAGGTGACTGGGAGGTGGGCTAGCTTGGGTTAGATTCTTTCTAGAAGGCATGCCAGACAGTCCCCCTTTTCTCTTTCACAGAGCCACAATTCCTTGCAGACGCTTAACTCACTAATGAATGGTGATGCCCACATGGCCAGGCTGCGAACACAGGCTCGCCCCAGTCCTACCCCCAAATGCTCCATGCTTCAGTGACCACACAAGCCATTAGATGCCCTTCAGGACTGAGAAGGCAGTGTCTCACTTTTCACTACCAAAAGATCTAAGTTTGTACTCTTCTGCCCCTCCCCCAGCCCCTGCGAGCCTCCCGCCCTGGCCTCCTTTCAGGCTTCAAAAAATATGGAGCCATAAACTTCAGAAGGAAGAGGGAGAAAAAAAAGTAAGCTTGTTAGCTGATGTTTTATAAACGGGAAACCTGTTAGCAGCGGAGCCCAGGGAGGAGGGTGAGGAGGAGGGAGGCCCTCCAAAACATTATTATAAACATGAGACTGTACAAACACATTTTAGCAGAGAAAGAGAAATAATAAAAGAAATCAGTCCCAGATGGCCTTCTTCAGAAGGGAGAGCAGGAGGAAAAACATTTCATTTCAAATAGATAACGTAAATCAAAGTTCTAAACGTTACCTTTTTTTTCTCTTTGAAAAATATCCCACAGCCCTAGGGCACTGTCCAGTGTCCTTCTGTCTGGAGAATAGTACCACATGGACATGGCTCAGGTGAAACAGCCCACTGTTCTAACAGGAATCTCTATTAGAGCCTTCTGTGCAGGGGCTTCATCACGAGTGATTAAAAGAAAGGGAAGCAAGGAAGATCCTCAAGCTCTGGATAGGAAAAGCCAGATCCTTGTGTTCTTCAGGCCGCCATCTTCCCTCAACAGCTACTGTCCCCCCCAAAGCTAAGGGCACTCACTGGCTCACTGGAGGGCTATATGTAACAGAGACAGGAAGTGCTTTCAGACACTGATCCCGCCTGGATTCTTACTTTAGGCCTGTTAACATTCTCTCTTTTAGGAGAAAATGGTGCTGTAAATGAAGGCTCTCTGTTACATACTAAATGGGTTTAGAAGACTAGCCTTCCTAGGGACGTCTCTGTCCCACTGGGGAAGGAGCCAGGGTGCTGGCTGGTAGAAAATAGGAGGTGATAGCAAGTGTATGCATTGCCCATCACCTGCAACTGGTAAAGCCCACCCATTTCCAAACCCTGAATGAAGGAGGGTGAAGCTTGACCATCCCCAGAATAACGCTACTGATGTAAGAGCAACATTTATGGAGCATTTACTAGGTGTCAGCCACTGAGCTAAGTGCCTGATACGGGCTATTTAGTTCAGCCCTCACAGTGGCCCCCTGGGGAAGGTAGCCTGGCTTTATGGAGGAGACTGAGCTAGGACTCAGAGCTATATCTGATTTCAAAACAGGAATCTTTGAAAGCCATCCCATAGAGTAGGCTGGCCTCAACCTCAGAGGCAGCCTGGATGAATCTCACCTTCCTCGCAGCTCTCGCCTTTGTAGCCAGGGTTACAGATGCAGGTGCCCATGATGCAGGTGCCATGGCTGCTGCAGGCCACGTCGATGCACTGGTTAGTAGGCACGTCACACTCGGCACCCTTCCAGCCACTGTGGCACAGGCACCTGCCCTTCATGTACTGGCCGTTCCCACTGCACAGCACGGGACAGGATGCTGAAGAGACAGTACCAAATGCCTGGGTGAATCACTTCCCAGCACCCTGCCATTGGCCTCTGCTCTCTTCTCCCCTCTGCTTGGCCGGTCGCATCAACTGATTGGCGGTACACACCCCTGTGTACCCATCACCCACTTCCCCTATGCTGCTTCATTTCTCTGGAGTTGGAAGAGAGGATGTGTGACGCGGGGCCAGGGGCTGGCACTGGGTGCTACAGGTTTCTCCGGCCTCCTCCGTTTCAGATGGAGCATCCTAGCTGCCAGGAGCTTCAGAGAGGAAGCTGCCATCTGTTTCTCATTATCAATAGAAAAGACAGTATCTGGGGTTCCTGGCTGCCTGCGTTGCCTCTCCAGCACTCTCCTGATAGCCCTCTGTTGTCAACCCTCCCCCAAATCCCCATCCTTAACCCCCCCCCCCCCCTCTGCAACACCACACTAACTGTTGTCTTTAACCCTGGCATGGCTCTGCTTCCTTTGTCTTTCAGGTCCCCATTCCAGCCTCTTACATCACAATCCTTCAACAAAAAGAGCTGAGCCCAACTTAGCTCTTTGAAGTATCTTTCTGTTCTGCCTCTTAGCATCAGGGTTTTGTGATCCTCTCTATGAAGGATACTATCTAAAAATAAGCTATATCGCACCATGGTTCGAGCGCTCACCTGTCTCACTGAGATACAATAAGGCTATTTTATACATGACTCTTAACCTGAAGTGCGTGCATCTGAGATGAGATGGTAATTCTCCTTAGAAGGAATGACTTGGCTCTCTCTGCACTACCTTTGCTGGGCCCCACCTGGCATCTTTTCTTTTTAGAGTACTCAGCAGGCAATCACTATGCTACCCAGGGCTGCCAGCAGTCTCAAGGCAAGCCTATTTCATAATAGCTAAAGTAGTCAGAGTCCCCAGCGCTACACCCTGGGTAGGATTTGTAGGGCACTATTCCCTTGACCTTGGAAATCATTTCTGACTTCTGTTCTTGAATTCCACAAGCCTTAGACTCCGGTCCTGCCCCATCTCCTCTCCACCTTTCTGAGTGGATCTCCCTCCTGCCTAACCGAGACAGCCATACTTAACCTTGCTGCCTCTACTTCAGGTATCCTAATGCTGCTTTGTAACAGTTGGTTTAGTCTCTCAGAATGGCCTGAGAGCCCCAGGCTCGGTCAGTGGGATAAGCCCAGTATGTAACAGGACAAAACTCCTAAATGGACACAAAGCCGGAGGCTTCTGGGTAGACAGATGGAGGAACCCAGACAAGAGTCCATTTTGGGTTTCCTGTGGCGAACACCAAATTCTCAGGACCACAGATCTCAGGAAGTTTCCCTCTTCATGTTTCTAGAACAAAAATGAAGGCCGGAAGTGCAGAGTAGGTCTCAGGTAGCCTTTAGGTTATCTGAGAATTTGTTGCTGTCTTTAGCAGTATTTATGGTACATGTGAGAGGAGATGACAGGCCTCCAGATCCATCTGCTGGTGTCTTAGCTGAGGTTCTGCCTGTGTTGTGCACGAGTGGAGGGGCTCCCTAAGCTTCCTATCCACAGGCCAGAGAGGAGAGGCATAGAGGGTGCTTGACAAAGGCTGATGGTCCCTTTAAAGAGGGAATCAACTTCTCAAAGGGTCCCTCACTGCCACCCTCAGTACCATAGGAAGGAACACGGTACTTCCAGTCTTGACCTGTCCATAGCTAGATAACAAAGACTGACAGCACTTGGCTTTACCTGCCAACTGCCTTTGACAGGCCACTGGAGAATAACTCTTGTGGTACTTCCTGGGTACATGAGGAGGCAGCTTGAGTCCTCAGTTCCCTTTGAGAAGTGCACTCCAGCTAGCCATAGGGTCTGGGAAGCAGTTACCGTTACCACTATGTTCATGTGAATGCTTACCTCGGCCACAGTCAGGGCCCAGAAAACCCAGGAAGCAGTGGCAGGTCCCGGAAATGCAGTCACCGTTACCATAGCAGTTGCTGGGGCAGTTATCCACTGATTCTGGAAGAGAAGAGAGGGAGAGCTGCACCAGGAGATGGCTTTATGCTACAAAGCCAAACAGGCACACAAACATTTTTTTTTTTGAGACAGGACTTGAGCAGTCCAGGGTCACTTTGAATTTGAATTTGCTATGTAGTGGAAGATAACTTAGAAGTTTGGATCCTCCCGTCTCAACCTATTTCATGCAGTGCTGAGGATAGAACCCAGGGCTTTGTGCATGGTGGGCATGCACTCTGTCTAACGAGTCACATTGTCAGCCTCTGAGCATTAATAAATCAAATGCATCTTCTTTGTGTATGTGTTAATGCCGCAGAGAAACACAGTTGGGAGGGAGCAAGCAGTATGACCTGTGACCTGTTATCTTTGCTTCGCCCCAGCTCTACCTTCCTTGTATCCATCCAGGCCCCGCCCTCCCTAGCTGGGTCTTCTATGGCAGTCTGTGGGTGGTCATTTAGCATTCTCCACTCTGATTTATTCGCCCGACAACCTGATTGATCTCTGTGGGGTGAACCTGATGCTGCTACTCTGCTAATAAAAGCTCTTCAATAGTCCTCACCAGCTGCATGAGAAACCCATCCTCTGTCGAGAGGCATGTACACCTTTCCCTCCTCTTCCCACTCAGCCCCATGCCCAGGCATCAAGATGGACTGTTACTTCCTCTGACTCCCTGAGTTCCATGTAGTTCCATAAACCTATCTGATGTCACTGTTACTAAATCTGACAAGTATATGTATGACTGTTCCCATTTCATTAGAAAGAAAAAGCAGCCAAGGAAGATAAAAAAAAAAATTGCAGGAGGTCACGGTTATTAGTCACAGAGGCAGGATATGAACACAGGATTTGAACTTTTGGACTCCAAGCTTAGCATCCTTCCATGATGCCATAGTATTTAAGGCCCTGCAGGAACTCATACCACAGTAGAAGCCAGGGGTCTGAAGCAATATCCTGGGGGAGTGGGGCAGGGGATCGAAGGAAGGGCAGAGAATTCTAGAACTTTCAGAGGCTAAAAGGTTCCAAGACACCATCAAGCTCAATGTTCTCACTTAACAGAAAGGAAACTGAGAGGATGGGCATCGGCTTTCCCAAGGTCGCAGAGTGAGCTGGGAGAGTAAGAGTTAATGGGGAGGGAGGAGACGATTGGGAGTGTAAAAAGAACTAAGGAGTCAAGTTGCTGTAGCTCACAGGGATCCTTCACGAGTCCAAGACTGGGGGATGAGGAGATGGCTCAATGGTTAAGAGCATGTAGTAGCTTGTGGGGGACTACTGTTTGGTTCCTAGGACTCACAAGCTCACAACTCTCTGTTGCTGTGGCTCCAGAGGATCTGATGCCCTCTTCTGGTCTCCATAGGTACTGCACTCATATGTACATACCCTCTGCATATATTATTAAAAATATTCTCAAAACGAAAAAGTATCTATGAAAGAGACATTGCCATTTCAGACCTATGCTGAGCTGAGTGAACAAGATAAGTGACTTGTCACCTGGTCAGCATCATGGCAAAGAGAAAAAGTTCTCCCTGAAGATAAGGAGACATGTATTAGAGTCCATTTTTCCAGTACCATGCTGTGTGACCCAAACCAACTTTCTTCCCCTTTCTGAACTCTGCTTTTCTGCTCTATATGATGAAGGCAATGGCATAGGTGACTCCCTGGGACTGCTTCCTGTTCTAAAATAGCAGGAATTACAGTGAGATCAGTTGGATTGTGTGGGCATAAAAAACAGAAATGCAGTAGAGTGCTCCAGGGTGTACAGTGGCAACGGCTGGGCCAGAGGGCTTGAGTAATAGCCTGGGACACAGAAGAGGAACAGGAGGTATCGATATAAAAAGCTTCCTCAGGGCTGGAGAGATGGCTCAGAGGTTAGGAGCACGCACTCTTCTCACAGAAGTCCCGGTTTGGGGTCTTAGTCCATGAGGCCTGTTCTCTGGGCCTTGCAGGAACTCATCTTAGAGCAGAAGTCAGAGGCTGAGAAAGGCAGGTTTCTGGGACAGCAGGGTCATCAGGAGGCAGCAAAGGAGCCAATGGGAGGGGAGAACATTCTAGAACTGTCTGAAGAAACACCACTTCAACATGTGGCCTCCCTCCAGGGCTAAGTGATCTGTCTGAGCTGTAAGTGAGTGAGGCTTATGGGTTCTGAGCATCTCTTTTCCACAGGCGTTGCCTGGAAAAGTCTATGTCCCTAGGTATTTACATCAGTACTGGCTTCCGGAATACATTTATAAATAAACACCATTCAGGGAACATCACTCTGAATTTTGTTTTAAAACCCAAAAGTTTCAGTAAAGTTCAAGACCAGATGACTTTACCTTTAAGCTACTGTAAACTGTACAGTGGGGAGGGACGGCTCCTCCAGGCCTGGTGCAGGAGCCCAGCACAGGGAGGCAGAGGGCCTGGCTTCTGGGTCTCCTTGTGCTCTGCAATGGCTGGGGGCCATGGCCTTGAGTCCTCCCTTCCCTATCTCCTCATTCTCCCCATAGCAGGTGTCCCTGTTTACAACTTCTGTTCCTTCTTCTTGAGCTAGTTCTAAAGCCACGATCTCTGAGAAGACTTCTTGGCAGCACAAGCAGGCCAAGTCCTCATCATTATGGAAACACCATACCGTCAAATTTGAGTTTAGAAATGGACATTATTCATTTCTGTATTTACCCTGGAATCTAACGCACAGAAGGGTCTCAGCCTACTCTTGATGCTATCACTGAAAGTATTCACTCTGTGGTTTCCCAGCTCTAAAAGCTTCAGCTCAGACTTTCTCAACCGAAGGCACAGGCATTCCTCTTAATGAACACTGATTAACTGTGTTTCAGCAGATCCACTTGCCGATGACGCCCATACACTTTCTAGACTCTGATTTATGAAGTCTACAAGGCACAAACCTGCTTCTTACCTGCCAAAAGCCCTTCGTAGTAACCGAGTGAGGAAAGCATATTTTCCTGGGACACAGTATAGTGTCAGCTGCTAAATCTGACAGAAGAGAAGCCAGGGTTCTCAAGAATTTGTCCTGGGATGTTAATTTGTGGGAAGGCATAGTTTTAAGAAACAGAGAATAACTTGAAGATGGCAACGTGAACGGAAATGGAGCCATCTGGAGACTATTTGCTTCTGATAAAATGTTTGTGTGAATAGAATTTCTTCCATAGAGAGGAACTTTAGCAACTTGGGGTTGACATGAGATCCCATGAATATGAGGCTGGAGAGACAGCTCAGTGGTTAAGGTTACTTGATGCTCTTGCTGAGGACCTCAGCTGAGTTCCCAGCACACTCATGGTAAGCTAGCAACCATGTGTAACTCAGGTTCTAGGGGATCTGATGCTCTCTTCCGGCTTCTGTGAGCACTGCATGAATATAGTACACATACCCAGGCAGACAAAACGTTCACACACATTTTTTTTTTTAAATGTAGTTTAAAAAAAGATTAAGATCCCATGGATACCGAGTCTCCACTGACCACCTAGATATCTCTGTGCTAAACTCTGGGGTAGAAGAGATCGTCACAGACTCTTGAGAAGTGTGAACTTTATTCCATAAACCTGGTGTATGTTCTCAATCAGTGTTTGGCGAGTCTCTGCCCCGTGTTCCGCTCTGCTTAAAGTTCACACTCCAGCTGCTTTTGTTTAGTAGAAGGTGCACCTTCCAATCCGCCTGAGTTGGAATTAAGAATTCAACTGCCTGTGAGTAACTGATTTTCATAATTGAGTATACAGTAAGCTGGAAAATGCAGGCCTTTTCTGCCATGGCTTTTTGTTTTTCTGTTAGAGCAGTGGGCCCTAATAGGAATTATGACTCAGGAATTTGTTTTCCCTTCCATCAGTCTTAGAATGTGAAGCTTAAAGGTTTCTTTGCTTTTTCTCTGAACACGGGCTGTGAGTGGGGATGTCCTCTGGATGCTGAACACAGCATTACTGAAGACACAAAGGAGCATCTTCAGAGGGAAGAAAGGACAAAGTGTCCCCTCCCCGGCCCATAGCAAGATTTTGGAGGGAACTGGTCATTAGGATGTGGGTATTCCACTGCAGGGCTCATTCTGTCTACTGATGACTTCTTAGTGGAACTAAATCCTTGACATGGCTATGTTAAGGAGAAATAGGTCACATATGACACTGATGTCCTTTGAAGGCAGATGCTTTGGAAGTTCTCCTTGTATTTGTTACTTCCATTTCTTCTGTTTTCTGAAGCCTCCAAAGCCTCTGGGCAGTGGTGGTGCACACCTTTAATTCTAGCATGCAGGAGGCAGAGGCAGGTGGATCTCTGTGAGTTCCAGGACAGCCTGGTCTACAGAGCAAGTTCCATGACAGCCAGGGCTACACAGAGAAACCTTTTCTCAAAAAACCAAAACCAAAACCCCAAAGCTTGCTTTTCCAGGCTCGCAGAGGAAGCGATTGCCTGGAGGAGGGAGGGCAATGGGGGCAGCTCAGGAGCCTCCTGTTTCCCAGAGCCTTCATGGTGGAAGAGGAGGGGCATCTCCTCTGCCAAATCACCGCGTATAAGCACAATTTGCTTGTGATCCCAGTCTGAGCAGGCAAACCCTGTGACCCTAGGAGAACTGTGTTGGATCCTTTGCCAAGGACAAAGAAGATCTCTCTGCATCCTTAGTCCCTCTTGTCTTCGGTGATGTGTCCGAGCCTATGGTTACGACTTCCATTTTCTTCCTACTTCTGTGTCTCTCCCTAAGTTGTAAAGGTAGGTGCCAGAAACTCTTTGAGAGCTTGGCTGAGGACATGAGGTCTGCCTGTTTCCCAGACAGTGGTCCAGTCTTCTGATGACTGCTTCTAGCTGCTGTATAGGATGATGACAGCTAATGCAGTAGACAAGACTGACCCCAAGACATGATCTTAACTTTAGCTACTGAAATTTACACTTTATATTATACCTGTTATATCCCCTCTATTCTCAACAAAGACTGAGCTCAGTTTAAAATAAGCAACCAAAAGCAGACACAAAGCAGACTAATATTGATGGCAATATTAGTATTTAATTCAACCTTAAGTCCAGGTTGAGGGAGG